TCTTTTTTTTTTTTTTTTTTTTTTTGATAGCTAGAAAAGTATTTCATGATAAAGCCTAACTGGCGTTTTGGGTTACCAAAGATGGAGCTGACAGGAAAGAACAAGTTACCATGTAGTACCTCCAGCATAAGTCATTATAATTGTTATAACCTTTTTTGTAATACTGATACCCCAAAGCTGCATCTGTACAGATGGACCTATTTATTTTATAATGTATAAGAAAGGTGGTTAATTGTTCATAGACTGCCTCCCTACAAAATGTCTAATACTGCTGTTAAAGCTATTGATGTAACTGCTTCCTTATTAAGTCAACTGTGATGCTGGAAGGGTGCTTCTACTTCTGACTAGCTGGTTATTGTAAAACAGTACATCTTCAACAGTACTGATCTGCAAATAGTGGATCATGTACTGTAATTCCTCTTCTTTGTACTGTAATTCCTCTTCTTTGATCTCTTTTGAAGGAGACAAATCACCAGCCCTTCACAGATTTGAGTTATTTATAAAAATAATAAAGGCGAGATTTAAAAAATCTAACATTTTTTTTAAAAAAAAATCCTCTAAAGTATACCTAATGTGGATTCTTAAAAGTCTTGCATATGCCATATCCATTATTTGGAGTGGGGGGTGAACAAAGAATCGAAGTAAAATAGACTTGACCTTGGTTGTAAAGCAGGAATCTGGTTGTACCACTAATTTCTTACTGGTAGATTGGTTGCTGGTGCTATCATTTGTCTTTGCTTTGTTTCACATCAGGAAACTCTCACTTTTTAGCTTGGCCCAGCTTTTCTGGGCTAGCTTTGAGGCACTACTTTTTCCTTATGTTTTAAACTTCAGCTGCCAAATAGCATCTTGTCTATTGCCTAGTATTGCCTCACTGATCAGCTTGAAGATGGTTGGTGAGAATGGCTTTGTTATACTGAGGGTCAGGAAGAACTTTTATGAGCTCCCTTCTATTTAGAAGAGATGGATTTAATCCTTCCCTTAGGATCCATCTTCATTGATGGAGACATTTATAAAAGTTAATGGGCTGCATGTAATTTTACTTCTTTGTTTACAGGACGGAAAAGCCACAATTCAGTCCTAAGTTGTAGCCGTGCTCTTGTTCAAAATGGTGGCCAAGGCCTCCATCAAGCTGTGCACCAGATCTTCAGGAACAATCTTAATCACAACACCCTAATACAGGAGTGCACATCTACTGAAGATTGTATTTCCTTACAAGGATAGCTTTGATTTTAATTTCTAGATAGAAGAATTTTTAATAATTGGTTTCATTTCAACCTTCCGAAGTAGTCACCAGAAGACCAACCAAAAGTGATAAAGACAGCTGAATGCTTTCAGAGGATAATGCTTGTAACAGTTCATTTCTTACCAGGCTTGAAGAGCACAGATGGGATCAATCTCTGTGATATAAACAATTGCTCCCAGAGCCTTCAGAGCTGCACAGCATCCCTTTCCAACCTGTGGTACCCAAAAAGAAACACAAAATCAGAAGCTGGAAAACAATGTCTTATTCATCTCAAAAGCAACAGTAGGTAACTATGAAACTGGTTTGAAATTTCTACACTACAATTCAAATGTATATAATTGGTGTATTAATTAATGAGTATTGATGGACTGGCAGCAAAAATACTGAGGGATAACTTGTAGTCTTCCCCTTAATAGTCTTCTTCCTGTTGATATAGCATGAAGATGTTACTTCTATTCATTCCTTTACTCATGGCTGCATTACTACTACGGTATTTACAGTACTGGTTCATTACATAAAATTATATGATTGATGCAATTAAAAATGGAATTGATAATGTTTGCACTTGATTCCAAATATATGACTTCTTTTTTTTTTAAGTGTTTATTTTAATTGGAGTATGTGCCTACCTGGGAAAGAGAAACAAAATGAAGAACCTGAAAGCTCAGCCCTTTATATTCTTGTCTTACAAACCATAAATATCTTGGATATCACCATACTTATCAGTAAAAAAAGTTTTCCCATCAACAACTTTAAAAAAAATTATTTAAGTTAGATTTATTTTCTGAGTTGGGAAATATAATACCACACTAGAGAGAGGAAACAGGAGAGAAAATGAGTGTTTAAAATAAAATGTGGCCAAGAAATTACCACTTCCTCAGCTCAGTTTATTACTAAGGCCTAGTTCACAACAATTATCAGCTTAATCATGTAATGAAGACTCAAAATTTTGAGGAAAAATACATGTCAATTTTTTGCTGTATAAGAAAAAAATAAGGGGGGGGGAAGGGAAGGGGCAGGATGGAATAGGAAAGGAACTGAACCATTTTAATACTGATTTTGAACAGCTAGAAAGAATTCCAGATTCTTCTTGCTGTTAAGTCTCTTGCATAAGCAATCACTTGCACTATTGCCATGAATTAGCTGCTGTTGTAAAATTTTTAAAAAAGAATTCCACATTGCCATTTATATAGTACTATGCTGAAATAGTACATTTCATTCACGTTAAGATTATCCTGAATATAATTAATGTATTTTACATACATTATTAATAGAAGTGTTGTAAAAATAGTCACTGATAGCAGCTTGCAATTACTCTGAGTAGCTTACAATTAGATACACCATTTTCTGTTACAACACAATTGCTTGCTAATTGTACTTTTTATTAAGCAAGTAAAAAAGTAGTAAAACTAGTAAAAGGCAGATAATGAATACAACAAATAAAGAAGGCTGTATAAAGCTAGCTATCTGCTTGTACTCGTGTGCTCAAAAAAGGACATTAGGATCATGGATTGCTTCTAATACTCACCTCACCATAGCCACATACTACTACTTGTTTTCCTCCAAACATAACATCTGTTGTCCTCTTTAGACTATAAAAAAGAAAGCAACCCATTGTGAAAATACTGTTCTCTTAGATTCTTCAATAAAATAAAATTTGCAGTCACTATGTACCATAGCAGTGTATTGATTTAAACTTCTGCATAAAACTGAACATAAAGTTATGGCATAAGACCTGAATGTTCAATTGCGCTCTCCCCCCCCCCCCCCCCCCCCCCCCCCCCCCCCCCCCCCC